ACAATTTTTCCTCGTAATATGTGTTTTTTGAAAATAGTTTTGTTGATAATTATATATTATCATACATATATTATTATATATATTTAAGATAGATAAAGTAATAGTTCACACATTCAATATATATATATATATATTATAGATTTTTAACATAAATGAGGTAATAGTTCACACATTTCATATATATATATATATATGCAACAAAAATTACAATCAATTTTATAGAATATTTCATGCAATCATCTTTATTTTGGAGAATGGTTATGAAATAAAATAGTTATTTGATGCTAGGATAAAATTAACATAACGTAGTTAAAACAATTGTTCTACTCTACCTATATTCTATAAGATTATTAGATCAACATAAACTAAGTCTAAGTAAGCCAGCATTGATTTTTCTCATGAGTTTTACGAGTGACTATAAGACAATTTTCTCTGTAATTCAATTACTCTAGAAAATAACAACATTACTTAGAGAAGTACTGGCACGATTCTTTCTCACATGCAAGAATAAATTATGTGTAGACAGTGATGCTAAAAGTAGCGTAGAGCACTGTGATATTTGTCCTTAGTGCACTACCTTTCTCGTAGTATTTTGTTTGCAATAATTATCTCTCATTATCTCTGCAATAACAATGTTTGTAAATGATTTTGTTGTGACATTGGGTCGTGATATCATTGGCAGGACTTAGAAACATCACTGTGGTGCACGACTTATGTATTACCTTGTATTTATTTTATATCTACAGTAATGGAACTAATTATGGAAACGTCAAAGTGATGCATATATACAGGAGTTACAAATAACGAAAAATGGCAACTAGATAGTGATTTTATTAATAACAAGTTCGAGTAACCGTCCGTTGGACGAGTGAAATAAAACTCATTTGTAACAAAGGATTCTGCTTCTGTTTTTTTCTTCTTAACATAATAAACATTATAAGTGCAATAAAAATACATAAAGGTACCAATACTGAAAGAAAGACATACTGTTTTCAAGAATTCTATCAATATGAAATTAGGTGGGGGTCCAACACCCCCCTCATGACCTTCCACGTGTCATCCTGTATCACTGTCAAGTTTGGTGCTGATTGATCAAGAAATGTGGACTCCATTAGTTTTTGTGTAAGCCCTTTGTTTTCAAGCTGCTGTACATTATATTATTTTACGATTATGGAATATTGTTCCTAAAGTCCTGTATTGCACCTTACATTTTATCCAAGATATTTTTTTCGCTTTTGATCTTCTCAGTTTTATATTAGCTCCTACAGCCTCAAGGGCTCTACGGCCTCTTTTCCTTCAAGATATCATTTCGTCACATTTGCTGTTTGCTTAGGGTCGTTGTCTTGCTGGAAGATCAATAAGCCGTATTTCCTAGGGAATTATAAGATGGATTAAAATCTGTATGCATTTGTCATCACTTAGGGCGCTATGAATTTTTTTTAGATCATCAACGCCATAGGCTGAGATGCTGCCTCAAACTTCTACTGATCTCCCATGTTGCTTTACTGTGTATAGAATATACACTGGTTATGATGCTGTTCTCTTCTCCACTGTCGAATAAAATGTTGTTGATTGTAGCTGAATAATTCGAATTCAGTTATAAAGAATGTATGTCTCTAGTTTTGTTAATTCAGTTATAAAAGAGCATCTCTCTAGTTTTGTTAATTCAGTTATAAAGAATGTATGTCTCTAGTTTTGTTAATTCAGTTATAAAAGTGCATCTCTCTAGTTTTGTTAATTCAGTTATAAAGAATGCATGTCTCTAGTTTTGTTAATTCAGTTATAAAGAGTGCATGTCTCTATTTTTGTTAATTCAGTTATAAAAGTGCATCTCTCTAGTTTTGTTAATTCAGTTATAAAGAATGCATGTGTCTAGTTTTGTTAATTCCACTTTTTTTTGTGGTTCAATGAACATTTCAACTTTTTGGTTTGATTACCTCTTCCAGCATAGGTTTCGGGCAGGTACACATCCATTGAGACCACTTAATGCTGATATGTATCTTACTGTTCTCTAGATAACATTCACACCTATAAATATAGAAAAGTCGTTGGCAAGATTTGTATTAAACCGTTTTCTGCCTCGTAAAGAATATACTTTGAGATACTGAACATTACATTTGAAGAGTTCGGTTTTGCATCCTTACCACTTTTATAAACTATAAACCAATTATCAACATTCTTTGATAGATTATTTAGGCAGAGTATTCATGATGGAATATGGTTGAATGGACGGCAACTGCCTGTTGTAGAAACACAAGTATAGATTACGACGTTTCGAAAGTCTTTCGCCTTTCGTCTTCAGGTCACTGTGTGTGTATGGTGTTGTTGGTCTTTATAGTATTCTGGTGCATTGTAGAGGGCGTGTTGTGATTGGTTGGTTTATCCCCGTTTCCACCAGATTGCTGTGTTTCTACAACAGGCAGTTGCCGTCAATTATATTCATTTTGGAATGATTATTTAAAGGGGGGAGAAGTTAACAGTCATACAATTATAAAAATATAGGATGGTTTATTTCCACCATAAGATTATTATATATCTGCAAAAAGACATATTGTTTTTTCTATTGTTTCTTCTTCTTCTTTTATTCTTCTTTTTCCAAAAACTTTTCAATCGACCGCCATTTCTCAGCGGATTGACTTGAAACTTGGTAAGGTTACACCTTGATTCTATACGCCCAGATTTAGGTCTTTTTTTTAAAGGATTTTAGGGGGCCAAATATCAAACAACCCAAAAACGTATATGTTGGGTTCCTGTGCGGTCATATTTACAGCAATCAAGATGAATATTGGTACAAATATAACATTTTATGCATTCATCAAAATGACATTAAAAAAATTGGATTTGCCCATTTTGAGTCTTTTTAGGGGGTCAGAGCTCACAATAAAAGCATAATTTTGGGAGTTTTGGTCAATTACTCGGCCGTATTTTGACAAATCTACATGGATTTGGCAAAAGATACTTTTCTACAAGTCCCACAAATTGACACTATGCCACAAAAAGCATAATTGTAGGATTTTTTGACAATTACTCCGCCATATTGGTCAATTTACATGGGATTTGGTACAATGAAATCCCTTTACAAGTCCCTTACATACACATACAAAAATGTTGGGTATGCTAATTTTTTGTCATTTTAGGAGTGTCAAAATGTTAAATAAACATATAATGTTAGCGATTTTGGTCAATTATTTATCTTGGTTTCGACAATTTATATGGAATTTAGTACAAAGGTACTTTTTCACAGGCAACACACATCACAATATAGACAAACAAAAAATATTTTTAGTAATTATAGGGGAGTCACGATGTCACAAAAAGCATAATTTAAGGGTTTTTCTGACAATTATTTCGGGAAATTTACGTGGGATTTGATACAAAGATACTTTTTTACAGGTCCCAATCAGAGATATAGAAAATTTTGGATCTTTTGTCTTTTTCTCAATTTTTCAGCAAGAAGAGCACAATTTGGGGGTTTCGTGAAATATTTATGTATATGTCAATCAACTTACATGGTATCTGGTACAAATAAACTTTCTTGCAGGTCCCAAGCAGTGATATAGACAATTTTCAATTTTTTCTGGTGTCCAAATTGGCCGTTTTGGGATTACGTGGAGGAGACATGTTAGGCTCTTTAATTTTAATAACTGTCTTTATTAAAACTAGCAGAGACCTGCAAAATACGGGATTTCTAGAATAATACAAAAATATTCTAATCGCAGACACCGAAATCTATAAGTCCACTTGCCTTAGGTCTAACATTAGTTAAGCCTTTATTAAGTACGGCCTATATTCGATAAAGGGGTAAATTAACACTGTAGCTTGTGTATGTTTCTTGAGTTAGTTTAGTTAGGGTTAAACTTTACCGTACTTAATACTATAAATATACTTATAATGTTATTCTACAACTTAACGTTAGACATTTTTAAAGCTTTGATAATATTTTAATATTGTGTACAAAACCTCTGCTAAACTATATTTACATCCACCTTTTGTTTACATCCATTGAAATAAAATGCGTGCACATCCGCACTTATATAGTAAGGTGCGCGTACATTTTCAGGACAGACAAAAACTGAGTATTATTAGAATACATATTAGGGGACTGCCTTCCCGCAACTGGCTGAAGACAGCAAAAGGCAGTAGGAGTTGAGACGTTGAGGGTCATATCACTCAACTCCTCGCCCCTAATTTGAACTTTAGTAACAGCTACTTAGTTTCATATTTGGTTTAGCTTATGTTTGATAGATGGAATATCCTCAAACCTTTCGGGTCCTATGACCACAGATGTTATTCTTTATGAGTTAATGAATAATGACAAGGACTGGCAATGGACAAGTTTCTCTTTCTGTAAGTTAATATTTGATAACAGACATCTCAGTTTTGGTTTAGATATATATGTATGTGTGTGTGTTGTAAGCTAAAATTTTCTAATTGAATGTACTTTTACTTACAACAGCTGAACATAAAAATATTTCCTTTAAAAATACGGTTATGGCTTGGAAACATATTTCTGTACAACTTTCTTTGACGACAAGATGTTGAAATTATCAGACTTACAATAACAATACTTTGGATTTCTGTTTATTTATTTTTGAAAATAACGCGCACATATGTACAAGCATTTCGGAACAAAACAAAAACATTAATCAGCTTATCATACAAAACCTATATAATTAGATACGTAAAATGTTTAATTTCATTGTTTTACTTAATTGCATACAATTATACCCTTTCATATACAAGCATGTAGACAATAGGAAACAATGAAACTCATTAGTTTATCATGTGAGTCAAGAATGACAAAACAAATAAAATTGCATCTTATTTCTTTCTAAATTAGCACCAGTTTATAGAACATTTTTCAGTAAATCATAACTATTTTATTGCATTCCTAGATAGTTGAGAGTCTTGACTCCAGTATATATATATATACAAGATTTGTTATTTGATTTTATCTTGTAGAAAACGAAAGAAAAGATACGCATAAGTTTTTTACTCACCTGAACAAAGATGAAAAGTTGTGGGAGAGCCACAATAAAAGCTAAGGTCCAGGAAGCGAAAATTAATTTCTTCGCACGAATAGCCCCGACGGTTGACTGGAGCGGTTTGCAGATCGCCTGATAGCGGTCGTAGCTCATTGACGTCAGAATGAAGGTTGTGCTGGCGAGCGTTACGATCTGAGCGTACACAATCACCTTACATGCAATTTCCCCCAAGACCCACTCTCCGAATACCTGCAGTGGTGGGAAGGAAAACTGGCACTCAGTTAAACCTACTTAATCATTATTGAAGCAAACAGAAATGTACGTTGGTTAAACAAAGTTAAGGTAACAATATACACTAATTAAATATGAGTGCCTAAAGAGGAGATGTTTAATACGCCTGTGACTATAGAATGTTAACCTGCCTCCTACAGTAGTAAATTTATATTTAGCGACATTAACTTTAACGCAATGTATTTTCATCAAAATTATGTTACTGTTTTGGTAATAGAACATAAGAATATATATTTTGTGGGAAAATTGTGTAGTTTTTACATTTCATTTTTAATATTACTGTATATTGGATTCCCCAAATCTTGGAAACTGCTTCGTGTTATCTCTTTAGTTTAACGTCAAAACAGAAACGAATAAGTTTTGCAATACGTTATAGTATTCTTACTTCTTTTCTTCCGTAAATCCTTTAAATAAATAAATAAATATTCTTATATATGTATATATATATATATATATTCTTATTCTTATATATATATATATACATATATATTCTTTATTTTTTTTAAGTAAGGTACAGTTTCTACCTGGTTTTTCTATTGTTCACTAAATCTGATTTTTATGCTTTGTTGATAGATTATCGCTGTTGTTATTAATTCAAAAATATTATAGTACCGAGCTTCATTTTCTAAAATTAGCATCAAAATTATTTCACACAAAGTAGCCTCGAATCCAACATGAAAAAATAATTATATATATATACATATAACCTAAGGGCAAGATAATCAAAACCCCAAAACTTAAGTTTTAACTTTCACATCCTAGTCTTCCAATTTCCAGGCTGGTGTCGGTTACAGAGAAGAATAATTCAAACTTTCGGATTTTGAATCGTTTAATTTGTAAACATTAATATAATGTCTCTATTTAGCTGTAAATCATGAGTCCGTGTGTTTAACACTTCTTGATTTCACTGGAAAGCACTAATTGATTTGATAGGTAACACATGCTCTTGATTTAAAGCATTGATCTATTTGTCTGTTTTGATTACCCAAATCGTGTTAAAGAAATGCCCTTTTAATAATTACACGAAATTCTTATCCATAATATCCATTCTCCAAATTATATATGATGACGTTTTATTATAAGCTTTGGCTACTTATTGCCTCTAATAATATTATAAACACTATCGTTTTCATCTCTGAAACATTAGTGAATCACAAGAACATGACTTCAACTGCAAATTAATGTTTAATAATTGCCTTGGAAGCTGCTTAAGGTGCATGTTCATAAATCCCCACTGAATGAAGCTGCTGGTCTTATTTCTACTTTACCTAAAACATTATTATATAAGATAAAATGTCTTAAAAGCTGAAATATTTGAAGAGTTTTAAAAATCGCTATAAAAGGAAGTCTGGTGACATGTTTTCTCAAATTATGACGTGTATACCTGTATCCCCATATTACTACGTGGTTATTGGACACCTAGGTTACCTCGTGAACATCACGTGATAACTAATATCTCCACACATAAGGAACGTCGTATCACTTGACACTCAATCTAAGCTTTCACAGGAACAGGCATGTAAGAATGATTAATATTAACATTAATTTCCACAGAAAATAACTTACCTACTTAGATCATCTCTGAAAATATAATTAAAGTCAGTAATAAGTATAAATGTATACACTTTTCTTACGTTTTTACACATAAAGATTAGAATGCATTATTTCATCAGTTGTGTACACTCGCTACTAACGATATTTTCAGCCCTTAAACCCAATAATATCTCTTGAAGTTCGGCCAGCTTAAGAGAATTAAATTACTTGTGTAAGGAAGCAGCATCATGTTAATACAACAGTAAGTCATTAAATAACGATTTGCGAGCGCAATATTTATTGTAGATAGCGTGTATGTTTCGGCAGTACCTGTATACCGAAGCATTTATATCAGGCTAGTCCTAATTACACATACTATGCCAAAGTGTAAAAATCTCTATAGTAAAAGTGTAATAATAGAAATTCAATATTAATATTATATATATATTAAATATTATAATCCATACTGTTAATAAGAGTAGCATTAAAGATAGGATAGAGTATATCTTACTTACAAAACACTAGTTTTTAGCTTCAAACATTGTGGGAATGTGTACGACTTAGTAAAAAACCCTTAACGGATGCTAATGCTATTAGAATATGAACGGAAGCACTTTCTGGAATGCCATGCTCAGCCAGGCGATCGTGTACGTGGTCGAGAACTGGTGTTTTGTAATAATACTTGTGTTCAAAATACGATTACTAATGATTGTTATATTCTGCTTGAATAGTTACAAATACAAAACAACTGAGTAAAGATATATGAAAAAGCGAGTTAAACGCAAGAAAAAAAAACACTGACGCAAAGCTGAAAGCAACATTTTTATGTAATATATTTCAATATAAAACAGAAATCTGTGATCGATAAATATTCTGTTTCTAGACCATTACCATCTTGTTTAGTCATCTAGCATCCTTCGCTGAGACAAGTCAGATCCTGATAGGTAAGGCTGAGCACACATCATCAATCACTTTTCGTATCAGAGCAAGTCATCATACTGACAAACGTCGTCATGACAACTACATACGATAAAATTATCTGTGTGGGACTTCTCATCAGAAAAGGAACAACCTCTCAGGCTCCTTCTATAAGCCTATATACTTTATATAACGGACAACTTAAGAAACGATTTTGTAGAATAAAAAAAACGGTGTTGTAACAGAAATATTTAGTCAATAATCATGTAGAATAAGCACAGCTGAAGCTAAAAAACTTGTCCCGAACTCACTGACTCAACTTGTGTGTTGGTTAGTTTATAACATTTTATCTAATCTTACTTCTTTCGACCTAACTCTAAGTGTCAGAAAATCATCTAACAACATACAAGCCCTTATCAAATCATGACAGCAATTACAGAGACAAACTGTATAATACAAGATTCTCATTATAGTGCAAAACTAAATTCAAATCCTTATAAAACCTTTACCATCTCCTCACACACACTAATGAAAGTACGTTTTTTATTTCAGGCATTTGTTATCAGTATTTGGTTTCTTAAGCGAACAATCGTTTCAATCGTTTTTTGTTTTTGTTTTTAAAGTAGCACTAAAGGAACTGCTGCTGAATACTTAATGATAAACCATACTCAACAACATTATTAACAGCTTCATTCGTTTGAGTGTGAAAATACCACTTGCTGATATTACTTAAGTGTTACGGATTCCAACCAATCAGACTTCAAACGGTAGCGTTCATAAATGCACATAATTCAAGTTATCAGTAAGGATAACCATACTCAACAACATTATTAACAGCTTCATTCGTTTGAGTGTGAAAATACCACTTGCTGATATTACTTAAGTGTTACGGATTCCAACCAATCAGACTTCAAACGGTAGCGTTCATAAATGCACATAATTCAAGTTATCAGTAAGGAAAAATTTAATTGCGACATGCGTTGTCAATAACTTATAAAAATATTTCAACTTATATATGGTGTTGTCAAAATCAATTACGTCACTAATCTGGATGTAGTGACTAATTTATACTCTATAACTATTAGAAGTTATTAATAAATCACGGAACATAGACCTGACTTATCAACAGTTTCAGTCACATTCACTGATCGAAATGTCCTTTTGGTCGAAAAACAATGGAACTATTATAGTTTCCAATAAAGAATCACAGGTGGCGAGTCACATTTTGAAAACACTCCACAATTCCAAAACATTTTAGGAAAAACAATATGTGTAAATAGCCTTGAGAGGTTGAAAATGAAAACATTTTTTGCAGACTGAAACGAATAGAAAATATGGTTGTTTTTCTGTCAACCGTTTTACGAGCCCGCAAACCAAAGCTGAATGAAGACTTTTGATCATAAATCGGGCAGAGTTTGAGTAGGTTATACTGATCCAACTGTGAGGGTTTGTTATACTGATCCAACAGCTGAAAACGACAAGCTGTCACGTTGGACTTTTCTAGTCTAGAATGTTCTGGAAGCGGATTACACGTTTTATTCCTTTAAGCACTTTTCTTCATACAAAAGTTACAAATGTGACATAATTTTTGTCTCCGTTCTTTTAATGTGTTTAAGTAATTGTTTTCAAACTATTAAGATTAATAACAAGAAATGTAATAAGAAAGGATAAAACAAAAAAGACATCGATGTCACCTTGGACATTTTAATATGCAATACTAGTCACAAGTTTTAGTTCAACAAAAATGACTACTTTTGCTCTAAAACTTGTAAAAATGGTAATCACTGTTTACAAGACACTAAACACGTATCTTTTTCTCATAATATGTCTGTTTGTGTGGTATCCACGAATTGTTTTATATTTACAATATGCACAATTATTCGCTTTATAGATATTTAGTTGATGTAAAGTCACATACAGCCAATGTTTAACTCTGGTTTTTTGTGACACAAAAGAATGAGTATGTTTCTACATTTCCCCAGGAAGGGATATCAGTACAATCCAGTTATCAGCTAGTATCCATTTACAGCTGTGTAGACTGAAGAACATTCTGGGACAGGTGTCTTGTCCAAAGACGCAATGACAAGGCGCGAGTGAGCTTCGAACACGCAACCTTTCGATCACAAGTCCAATGCACTAACCATTAAGCCAAACTACCATATTTTATAAATAGAATGATGTCATAATTGCACTTCAGCTTTAGAGAACCATTAAATGAAGATTGAGTGGGTTATATCTATTGGTTCATATTCATAATGGTACTTTCATTATCCACAATGGTTTTAAATCATTAACTCTTAACAGTTCAACTGAATTATCTCCTGTATATGGCCAATAAATTAAGTCAAATACTTTGTAAGTTTCAATATGACTAAAATTTAAAAATAATAATAATAAGAAAAAATTAACCAATGGAAAAAGACCATAAATACCTAAATTACATAATTAAAACTCAACAGTATATTGTTCAAAAAGTTAATATTTCAATAGGTGCGGTCGAGAAACCA